AATATGGTGATTGGTTAGAGTATAGTATAGAGAAAGATGAAGCATTTTGTTTGTGCTGTTATTTATTCAGAGATCACGTTGCAAAACGAAGTGGTAATGAAGCGTTTGTAACAGAGGGTTTTTGTGGTTGGAATAAGGCACAGAGGTTGGCTACTCACGTTGGTGGCGTGGGAAGTTTACATAATAATGCCAAAAACAAGTGTGACTACTTGATGAGACAAGGTCAGTCTATCATACATTCTCTACATAAGCAAGCTGATATTGTCAAAAATGAGTATCGTATTAGGTTGAATGCTTCCATTGACACTTCAAGGTTCTTGCTACACCAAGGATTAATTGCCTTTTCGTGGTCATGACGAAACAGAAGATTCAGCAAATAAAGAAAACTTCTTAGAGCTTGTGAGATATACTGCTCGGCAAAATGAGGCTATAGAAAAAGTTGTGCTGAATAATGCTCCTAAGAACAACCAAATGGTGTCTCCTCCCATTCAAAAGGATATTGTCAATTGCTTTGCTGAAGAAGTGATTAAATTTGTTATTCAAGAAATTGATAACGATGTCTTTGGTTTGCTTTTGGACGAATCTGCGGACGTTTCCGATAAAGAGCAAATGGCTGTGGTTTTGCGTTTTGTTGATAGATATGGGATCATCAAAGAAAGATTTGTTGGTGTTGCTCATGTGAAAGATACTTCTGCGATATCTCTGAAACATGCTATTGATTCTATGTTTTCAAAATATGGATTGAGTATGAAAAAAGTGAGAGGGCAGGGATATGATGGAGCTAGCAATATGAAAGGAGAATTCAGTGGATTGAGATCATTGGTTTCAAAAGAATGTAGCTCTGCACATTATGTTCATTGTTTTGCTCATCAACTTCAATTAGTTGTTGTGGCAATTGCAAAAAAGCATATTGAAGTTGGAAACTTTTTTGATATGATTTCAGTTTTGATGAATGTTGTTGGAGCTTCTTGTAAGAGAAAAGACAAGCTTTGAGAAATTCATAGAAAGAAAGTAGAAGAAGGAATTAGTAATGGTGAAATTAAAAGTGGAACGAGACAGAATCAAGAGCTTTCACTTTCAAGACCCGGAATTACTCGTTGGGATCACATTATAAAACACTACTTCGACTTGTTGAGTTGTTTTCTTCCATCATTGAGGTTCTCAAGTATGTACAAGATGAAGGCAGTGAGACTACCAAAAGAAGTCAAGCATATGGCCTCCTCAAATATTTTCACACGTTTGATTTTGTCTTCTATCTTCAGTTGATGCTACTTCTTCTTGGACTCACTGAAAACTTATCAATGGCTCTACAACGAAGGGATCAAGATATTTTGAATGCCATGTCATTGGTGAAGTCCACTAAACGATTGTTGCAAAGTCTTAGAGATGATGGGTGGGATTCTTTTATGGAGAAAGTTAGTTCCTTTAGTGAAGAAAATAACACCGAAATGCTCAATATGGCGGGAGACTTTGTGGATTCAAGAATTCCAAGAAAAAGAACCAATATAAGCAACTTGCATCATTATAAGGTAAACTGTTTCTACACCATTCTAGATATAAAGCTTCAAGAGTTTAATGACCGTTTTAACGAGATAAATTCTGAATTACTTGTTTGCACGGCGTCCTTAAGTCCGATTAATTCATTTAGTGAATTTGACAAATCAAAGTTGGTGAGATTGGCTGCATTTTATCCGGATGACTTTAGTTTCGTGGAGCGAAAATCTCTTGATCATCAATTGGACATATATCTTGATAATGTGCAACACGATGATAGATTTACTAATCTGAAGAGTCTTGGAGACCTTGCTATGGTCATGGTGGAGACAAGGAAACATCTTTCACATCCTTTGATTTATCGACTTATGAAGCTATCTTTAATTTTACCCGTCGCAACTTCAACCGTTGAGAGATGCTTCTCAGCAATGAACATTGTGAAGACAACGTCGCGAAATCGTATTGGTGATCAGTTTTTAAGTGATTGTCTTGTGTGTTACATCGAAAAACAGGTTCTTGAATCTGTGACAAATGAGAAAGTGATCGAACGTTTCCAAAAGATGAGTGAGCGTAGGATACATCTTTAAGATGAAGGTCTTTGATATATCGGCATTGTAATGAATTTTCATTGGATGTTATTTATAATTACAGTTTTTATCGGGTTGTATATTTTTTTGAACAAACTTATTTTGACACCATCAAACAATTTTCCTAGATCCGCCACTGTGCATGACCTTTTCAATGGCGCCAATGAGCTGTTCAAAGTTCTTCTAAACAGAACACGTTTTATTCTTTTGTTTTTCCACTCTTTCAATTATTGATTTAACATTTTTTTTTTGTTAACAACTACTCCTTCCGTTTCGTTTTACTTGTCGTTTTAGAGTTAAAATTTCGATCCATTATAGTTGTCGTTTTAGGTTTTCGATGCAAATGTTTGGTGAAAATTCCAGTTTTATCCCTACTGTTTTAATGTTTCGGCCAATGATTTTTTTTATAAAATATATTAATAAAGGGTTAAACAGAAATTTAATGTTTTTCTTAATTTAAGTGAGAAAATTTTAAACGACAACTAAAACGAAACGGATGAAGTATTAATTAGAGTTAAAAGAGTAATTCTTGAGGAATGTTGTTTACATATGTTATATGATTTAACATTTATATGTTTAGTAATTATTTGTTTTTCCTTCTTTCTCTAGTGGTACTTTACACTATTTTTTCTATCTCCCCACATGAGAGTTCGATCCTAGACATGAGGAGTGGTGATATGGAGGATTTACCGGTCATGCCATCTAACTCCATTCTTCAAGTGAACCAAAAAGTAACATTTTGCAAAATTATGATATCTCGACTATCCACAAATAATAAAAAAATCCAATTAACACTACACAATGACAGTACAAATTAACGTTTTAAGTTTATTTTTTAGTTTGACAAAACAATTTGAAGGAAGTATTATTCAATCATGGATTTAAAGTTAATTCTTGAAGTTTTAAAATTTTAAAGATTTGAAATTTAATATTATTTTTTAAGAATATATATATATATATATATATATATGTGGATTCCCTAAAAAATAAATCTATTTTGTTTTGAATAAAAGAAATTTTAATAAGGGAGATAAACACAAATAGCGCCAAAAAAGTATTTAAAATCTTAATTGAATAATACTAGATTTTATAATCTCCCAAACATGATTTACAAATATAAAATTTAATAGCACTAGAATTTCAAACATAATTCATAATCATTAATTAACTGATATCAGATTGTGATTAATTTCAATTTTATTAAAACACATGATTGCATAGGTTACATAATGGGAGTAGTATATTCGGGAGTCGGGGCGAAGTGTTAGTAGGATGGGTTATGCATGCCAACAGATGGATGGATTAAGCTTAATACAGACGGTGCCTCTCACGGGAATCCGGGCTTAGCCACGGCGGGAGGAGTGCTGAGAGATGGGAATGGAGATTGGTGTGGTGGTTTTTCTCTCAATATAGGTCGTTGTACGGCACCATTGGCGGAATTATGGGGGGGGTCTACTATGGTTTATATATAGCTTGGGAGAAGAAAATCACACGGTTGGAGCTAGAGGTGGACTCGCAGCTAGTAGTCGGATTTCTGGAGACAGGGGTGAGTGAGATGCATCCGCTGTCGTTCCCAGTACGCTTGTGCCATGGTTTTTTATCGAGGGACTGGATAGTCCGTATTTCGCATGTGTATAGGGAAGGTAACCGTCTTGGTGACGAGTTAGCGAACTATGCGTTCTCTTTGCCTCTTAGTTTTCATTTTTTTGATGTTGTTCCGAATGATGTTGATTCACTTCTCAGTGATGACGTGATTGGGTCTACGCGCCCAAGACGTATTCGTTTGTAATTTGTTTTTATTTTTTCTTAATAAAAGGGAGACATAATCTCCTATTCCTTACAAAAAAAAAAACACATGATTGCAAAGGAATTAGAGGAAAAAATTATGTTTTGAGTAGTGTGACATGTAGGAGGTTTTCTTAGGCCGGATTTTGTCCTTCGGAATAAAAGTTTTTCTGGATTCTTCTTTGCATTTATTCAAGTAAAACAAATGTAAAGAAAATAAATTAGGATTTGGACCCAAAAAAAAAAAACAAAATATTGATTATATGTATAATATTACCATATATTGATTATATGTCTACTGTATTATCATTTGAAATATGTGATATATATTTCTCCCTATGTCAATATATTTCTTTTTCAAATAGGCTAAGTTATGAAATAAATCAAAACTATTAAAAGTAATGTAAATCTCATCATATATTTTCCCAATTGTGATACAGGTATAAAATCTTAAAATCACTTTTAATTAATTACATAGAAATTGAATACAATTAGGTATTTTTAAAAAAATGTCAAAATGATTGAATGCATTTGCCCATTTGTTAAAATTTTGTAGCATTTTTGGCTTTTCAAATTGAAATTTGACATTAAATTAGAAAAGAGCATCTTGTAAGGAAAAATACTAATAAAAAAAAAAACTAAAATTACCCGATCGCCTCATAATGTCTACAATTTTCAAAACATTTTATTATAATAATAAAAAATATTCGTTCATAATTTCAGCTAACAAATTTTTCATTTTGAAAATGATTTGTTTAGATATATCAACCAAAACTTTTTAAAAAAATGTATGTTAGTACATAAAATTTGTTTACCTTTTTAAATACTAGTATAGATTATTAGAGAGAGTTTTTTATTACATAAAAGATAACCATATTAAAGCTCAATTAATTGAAATTATATTTTAAAGATAGTTTGAAGAAGGGCATGTATATCATTAACAACAAATTTTTTTGAAAAAGCACGCGGATTATGTAAGAATTCATTTAATGTTTTTAAAATAATATTTTTGATATATTTTTATAGTAAGCGTTCTCAAACCACAGTTCTTAACCTATGATATCTTTGTTCTAAACTGAAAGATAAATAGTTAATAAGAAAGCTAAGCAGAGGTCAAAGAAGCTAAACAGATGATCTGCTTCAGCCAATTTGCTTGACTGTGAGGGAACCTAAGTACACGATGTCTGGCATTGCTGAGGTGTTGGTAGCAGTTGGCGATGATATTTTTCTTGTGGAGGAGGACATGGTTCAAACTATTAGGTTTGATGAGCCTAGTGTTGATGACTCTGAGATGCAGAATGATGATTCTGGGAATTTGATTGGAGTGGTCCAGAAGATAATGGAAAATTTCTAACACTCTTCACTCATGATGGCCGGATTGTTGTTGTTGACATGGAAACAAAACAAATTGCTATTAACTACTCTTGTGAGGTATGCATCATTGCCTCTTGAGATGCTTGGTTCTTTGTTATAGACTGTATAATAAACATTTGCTTGTCGTTCTGTAGTATGGTGACTTAACTGTGTCTTTTATCCTACTTTTCTAGTCAGCCCTTCCTCCGCAGCAAATGGCTTGGTGTGGAATGGATAGCGTGCTGCTATATTGGGATGAGGATTTAATGATGGTGGGAGACCCAGTTCACTATTTCTATGATGAACCTGTAATTCTTATCCCAGAATGCGATGGAGTGAGAATATTATCTAACACGAATCTTGAATTTCTGCAAAGAGTACCTGATTCTACTGAGTCAATCTTTAAGATTGGAAGCACATCACCTGCAGCTTTGCTATATGATGCTTTGGATCATTTTGACAGGCGAAGTGCTAAGGTAGGTTTAATACTGTACACAACAGCATAAAGCATATGCATCTTAATGGTGTTCTGTAGCAGATGTTGTGCATTATGATGTGAATCCTTCATAGTCAAGCTTTAGTGTCTCAGTTCTTCCTGTTGTTGCTAATATTGTAACAATAGGTATTCTTACTGAAAAAAAAAAAGGAATGAATTGAGAAGAATATTTTATAACTACTATTCCTAGATCTGGGGTGATGAAGTTGATTTGCTCTTCTTTCTGTTAGGCAGATGAAAATTTGAGATTAATTCGTTCATCATTGTCTGAGGCTGTTGAATCCTGTATTGATGCCGCTGGACATGAATTTGATGTAACTCGTCAGAGGGCTCTGGTACGAGCAGCAAGCTATGGACAAGCTTTCTGCAGGTTAGTCTAAAAGAATTGACTTTCAGTAAAATCTAATTTCTGAGACTAACGCTCGGTGTGCTGCAACAGCAATTTTCAGCGTGATCGTGTCCAAGAGACTTGTAGAACGTTACGGGTTTTAAATGCGGTATGTGATTCTGCTATTGGCATACCTCTTAGCATTCAGCAGTACAAGGTTTTTGCAGTTTATATGATTGTGTCTATAAAGAAACATTTGCAGCTACCCTTTTCCTCATGAAATTTATTTGGCGTGCAGTTACTGACACCAGTGGTTTTGATTAGTCGCCTTATTAATGCTAATTGTAGAATTGTATGAATTGTGTGTTTATTCATGAATGGCTTTACAAAGTATTTATACAAGAATGATAAACCCTAAAATAAGCTTGCCGACCAAGCAACAATACAAGTCGGCTTTTCTACGAGTCGGTTTAACGACTAAGGCCTAGAGCCCAATATACAGCCCAATACTCCCCCTCAAGTTGGAGCGTGAGGGTCATGAACGCCCAACTTGGACATAAGATACACGAACTGAACTTTCCCTAACGCCTTAGTCAAGACATCCGCCAATTGCTCCTTAGTACCAACGTGTGCAGTAGTAATCACTCCATCTTTAATGGCATCACGTACCCGGTGACAATCGATCTCAATATGTTTTGTTCGCTCATGGAAGACAGGATTAGAAGCAATATAGAGGGCGGCCTTACTATCACAAAACAAACGAGCTGGTTTACTTGGCGGGAACCCCAAATCAGTGAAGAGTTGTCGTAACCATATAATCTCACGTGTAGCAATAGACATCGCACGATACTCGGCTTCAGCGGAAGAGTGTGACACCACTTTTTGTTTCTTAGTCTTCCAAGAAATTGGAGATCCACCAAGCAACGTAACATAAGCCGTCAAAGATCGACGAGACAATGGACATGTACCCCAATCGGCATCGCAATAGATCGAGAGTTGCAAATCTGAACTAGAACTTAGTAAAATACCTTGTCCCGCCGTTCCTTTAAGAAATTTCACGACACGTAGAGCAGCCTCCATATGTCGCTCTCGTGGCTTTTGCATGAACTGCGACAAAACGTGAACAGAATAAGAGAGGTCGGGTCGAGTGTTGGTGAGATAGATAAGACGCCCCACGAGTCTTCTATACTGTGCGGGTTCTGGAAGAAAATCACTTGTATCCGAAAGCAAATGATGATTTGGTTCCATTGGTGTAGCAGCTGGTTTCGAACCAAGGAGACCCGTCTCACTCACAATATCCAAAGCGTACTTTCTTTGAGTTAACATAAAACCTTCTTCATTACGAGCAATTTCAATACCAAGAAAGTATTTGAGCTTACCCAAATCCTTCATATAAAAACATTCTCCAAGATATGTTTTAAATTTGCGAATTGCCTCACCATCGTTTCCACAAATAATAAGATCATCCACATATATTAAAACTCGAATCTCAACACGTCCACGAGAATAAGAAAACAGTGAGTAGTCAGAGTAAGACTGAACAAAGCCGGCCTTAGTGAGTGCCGTGGTAAGTTTTTCAAACCAACATCGCGGTGCTTGGCGTAGTCCGTAAAGTGATTTATGCAATCGACAAACTTTATTCGGATCCGGATGAGTAAAACCTTGCGGAAGCTTCATGTATACTTCTTCATGTAGATCACCATGAAGAAAAGCGTTGTGGACGTCCATTTGGTGTACTTCCCAATTATGAGCAGCCACAATACGCAACAATCCTCTCACCGTAGTCATTTTTGCAACAGGTGCAAAAGTTTCATCGAAATCTTTACCTTCAACTTGACGATTTCCAAGCACCACAAGTCTTGCCTTATACCGTTCTATACTTCCATCGGAGTGATACTTGATTTTATAAACCCACATTGTTCCGAGAGCCACTTTCCCCGGAGGTAAATCCACAATACTCCACGTTTTGTTTTCTTCAAGAGCACCAACTTCTTTACCCATAGCATTCGTCCAACGCTTATCTCTAATGGCCTCTTTGTAATTCTTTGGTTCGACTTCAGCACTTATGGCTGCAAGAAAAGCCTTGTGGCGAACCGAAAAACAAGCGTCGGATATATAATCAACAAGAGGATAAAGTGAATTACCTTGGACCGTGTCGAGGGAGTTGCTGACGGAGTTATCGGTGGGAACGTGATGGGTCTTGTTTTGTGCTTCTGCATTATACAACACATAATCTCGCAATCGAACAGATGGCATTTTTGTACGTTTGCCTTGACCCAAAGCAGATTCAGGCTGTGTAACACCAACACTACTAGAATTTTCATCTACAACAACTTCCTCAACTCGCCTAGGCACTAAAACAGGACCTACTTCCAAAATGGCGTTATCAAGATCACCCGGACTAGCATCTTGATCTCGTACTACAACGTCATCACCATGAGTAATTAAATTTGTACCATTAGGAGATTCTGGGGCACTCTCCCTGTCGTTGGTACCACTGCCTTCGTTTTCAACAACACTCCCCCTGTTTTCAATATTTCCCGACACGTCCAAAAACCAGTCTTCATCACACGACTCAATAGCAACACGTCTAGAGTTCTCTGGTGTCGTTTCTTTAGAGAAAGGAAATTCACATTCCTTGAAGACTACATCACGAGAAACAAAGAATTCATTTGTTTCCAAGTCATATAATTGCCAACCTTTTTTTCCGAAAGGATAACCCACGAAAACACACTTCCTACTACGTGACACAAACTTATCCTTGTCCCGTATTTGTTTATGAGCATAACACAATGATCCAAACACCCGCAAGTCATCATACGTAGGTTGTTTACCAAACAACACCTCACTAGGACTCTTTCCTTGAAGAATTTTTGTTGGCGTCAAGTTAATTACATGAGCTGCTGTTAGAACCGCTTCTCCCCAAAATTTTGTAGGCATGCTTGCTTGAAATAACAGTGATCTAGCAACGTTCAAGAGATGCCTATGTTTTCTCTCTACTCTCCCATTTTGTTGTGGTGTTCCTACACAAGTAGTTTGATGCACAATTCCTTTTTCACGAAAAAAAGTAGACAAACACATAAACTCTGTTCCATTGTCACTTCTCACCATCTTAACCGTCTTGCCAAATTGTTTTTCAGAATATGCACAAAAATTTTGAAGAACACTCTTCACCTCTGATTTTTCAAGTAACAAAAACGTCCAAACGGCACGAGAAAAATCATCCAAGATGGTCAAAAAATATGCGGCTCCATTAGAGGCTTTGATACGATATGGACCCCAAACATCAACGTGGATTAAAGAAAAACACTCGCTTGCTTTATTAATACTATCATAAAATATCTCTCTAGTTTGTTTAGCCCGAAAACACGTGTCACAATGACTTGGACTAGCCGAAATAGAAACACCAGAAAACAAAGGTAAAGACGACAAAACTGAAAATGCTGGATGACCCAACCGCTGATGCCATAACACTTCATCAACTTTCTGAACTGTGTTTACTCGGGCAGCCTTGACATCCGTAAAATAGTAGACCCCATCACGTTCTTTCCCGGCTCCAATCAGCGTCCTTGAAAACCGGTCCTGCAAAACACATACCGTATCGGTAAAAATTGCAAAGCAATTAGATTGTTTCAAAAGCTTCGAAACAGATACCAAAGAACAATTTAAATCAGGCACATATAAAACATCATGCAAGCTTATACGATCTGATAAACGGAACACGCCCGTTTGTCTTGACAACGTCGTACTACCATCTGCAAAACCAATCGTACAAGGGGAAGAATTCTTGAGATTTACAAGAACCGACAAATTTCCCGTCATGTGATGTGAAGCCCCTGTATCAAGGATCACATCTCCATATATCTTACCAATGAGCTTATCAGAACCACCATTTGATTTTTCTTTCAGCATTTGAGATAGCGCTTGCAACATTTGTTCTGGAGTGAGCTCCGGAGACGTCGCAACATTTGGATTCTGACTTGTTGCATACGCAACATTCACTTGTCCTCTTCCTCTCCCGCCGGAGTAACCACCACGACCGCCTCCTCTGAAAGAACCACGTCCACCTCTGCCTCCTCTCTCAGAGAACCACTCGGGATAACCCACAATCTGCCAACACGTGCTCTTCTCATGACCGGACCTTCCACAATTGGAGCAAGCTCGATCACGGGTTCTGTTTCCGCCTCCAGTCTGTGATGACTGAATCCCGAAACCACCTCCATCACGGCGAGCTGCACTTGACTCTCCGGTCTCCCGTCGAGTCAAAAACCCAACTGCATCTTGCTGCTGTTCACGAACTTTTGCAGAATTCAACCTATCTTCCTCCCGAATGATTTTGTTGTAAACTTTTCCAAGATCTGGCAGCACATCCGCCTCAATGATCGCAGTCACCACATGCCCAAATCGAGACTCGTCCAAACCCATCACAAATTGATGAACTCTTTCATCTTCTCTCTCCTTCTCATAGGCTGCAGCCGCATCACAAGTACAAGCTGGTGGTGGCTTGTAAGTTTGCAGCTCTTCCCACATCTTCGCCAAACGACCATAGTAATCAATCACCGCTTGTCCCTCTTGCCTACACGAGGCCAACTTAGCCATCAACTGATGCACACGAACTTTGTTTCCAACAGAGAAACGCTCCTTGAGATTTTCCCACAACTTGTGAGCATCGGTGATAAAAGTCACTGTCGACCTCACACGCGGCTCGATCGACGTCCTCAACCACCCAACAATCATTGAATTCACGCTTAGCCACGACTCCAAGTCAGCATCTCCTTCAGACGGCTTCTTCAAGGACCCGTCAATGAAACCCGCCTTCCTCTTGGCTTGCAGAGCATTCAACATCTCTGTAGCCCACTCGTTGTAATTATCACCCTTCAGCTGCACCGACGTGATCATCACCCCTGGATTATCAGAGGAGAAGATCGAGTAGGGGGACATGGCAACTTTCTCTCCGGACACGCCGGCCACAACCATCTTTTTCTTCTCGTCGTCTCCCATCTCACGAATCAAGAGAAAAACACAAACAGAAGAAGAAAAGAGCTTTGAAAAGCAAAACTTTTAAAGCAAAGAAAATTTAGAAGCTTAGATCGATTAGAAGGATCTAGTCTCTGATACCATGTAGAATTGTATGAATTGTGTGTTTATTCATGAACGGCTTTACAAAGTATTTATACAAGAATGATAAACCCTAAAATAAGCTTGCCGACCAAGCAACAATACAAGTCGGCTTTTCTACGAGTCGGTTTAACGACTAAGGCCTAGAGCCCAATATACAGCCCAATACTAATTGTCACTTTCTTGCTCTGCGGATATCTGAGTACTTAGATATGAATAAAGTAAGTTAGAGGTTACCGTATTCGTCCCTGTGACGCATTCCTCTATCTCCAATATCTTCCTGTGTAGCCTTAGGGTGATTATAATTTTCTATTTTTGGCGTTATATAGGAAGTGGTGATAATGCATTGGGCATGTGCAAAGATAACTGCTTCACCATCAACTCCAGATTCTCATCTTCTTGAAATTTTACTTGATAAGGTTCAAATTCTAGTATATATAAGTCTTTGCAAGATATATATATTGAGATTGAGGAAATTCGTGGACTTAGAAGGATTGATGTCATTGAATTTCAGCTCCAACTATGCAAAGGAATATCGTATGCTGCAGTGGCCACTCATGCTGATAACTGTGGCCGTCGAAAGTTAGCTGCAATGCTAGTTGAACATGAACCACGCTCCACGAAACAGGTTTGTCTATCTAAGATGACTACCTCTCGTTGGGGTTATTTATACAGAAGTAAAAGACATTCACGGTGATAATTTGTGTAACAACTTAGTTTAACATGTTTCGTGATCACTTTCTGTAATTCTAGGTACCTCTTTTATTAAGCATTGGGGAGGAAGACACTGCTTTAGTGAAAGCAACTGAGAGCGGTGACACCGACCTGGTTTATCTGGTCATATTTCATATCTGGCAAAAGGTATATGACTGTTCTAAATGATGTTAAACTTTAACTATAAATATGTATGTCGTGCTAACAAACAAGAACTATCTGATTTCAACTTGTGGGGTTGACCAGAGGCCTCCTTTGGAATTCTTTGCGATGATCCAAGGAAGAGTTTTGGCACGTGATCTATTTGTAGCTTATGCACGGTATGAAAGTCTGCTATCTACCTTGCTTGATATATGCGAAACTTTGTTGCTTATGATTATTTTCCTATTGTAGGTGTCATAAACATGAATTTCTGAAGGATTTCTTCTTATCTACGGGCCTGATTCATGTACGTTTCATGATCACGTTTTTCCTGTAAACGCTGAAGTTGACCATCAAATAATACTGTTCGTGTACATAAACTGCTGTTAAGCTTGGATTCTTGTGGTAGCTTTTCTTTTATGGAAAGAATCATGGGATATGGGGATAAACCCAATGGCAAGCAAAGGATCTCCGTTGCATGGTCCGCGCATAAAACTAATAGAGAAGGCTAGAAACCTTTTCTCCCAGACAAAGGAACACACTTTCGAGTCTAAGGCTGCTGAGGAACATGCAAAACTCCTGAATTAATAATTGCAAGCCAAAACTTGATTTTCAATGTTTCTTTGCTCTTCCTCTCATGATCTTTTTTAGGATACAACATGAGCTAGAAGCTTGTACGAAGCAGGCTATCTTTGTTGATTCAAGCATCAATGATACTATACGCACATGTATTGTCCTGGGTAATAACCGTGCTGCAATAAAAGTGAAGACAGAATTCAAGGTTCTAATTGGATTTTTCCCCCTTTTTTGCAATGGATGACTGTAAGAACGTGATCTCACCACGGTACCATTTGAATTTTCAGGTCAGTGATAAAAGATGGTATTGGCTTAAAGCATTTGCTCTCGCTAGAATCAAAGACTGGGCAGCGCTTGAAAAGTTTTCAAAGGAAAAGAGACCACCAATGGGTAAGTTTATACAGCTTCTCTAATGAGTACAATGTTCCCTTCTGATGTTAAGACTTAGAGGGTAGGCACATTCATTTCTAGTTTATCTCTTGTTTTAACTGCCATATATCGTGAAGGGTTTCGTCCATTTGTGGAGGCATGCATTGATGCAGATGAGAAAGCGGAAGCTCTAAAATACATCCCCAAACTGTCAGATCTTGTGGAAAGAGGCGAGGTATGTCCTGCATATAAAACATGTACTTGGATTAGATATGTATAAAATATAGGAAAAGTTACTAGATTAACCCAAATAATGACTTTAATTATTAGAATGTCTCATAAAATTAGGGGGTTAGATGGGTTATTTTCATGACGATAATACCCTTTCTCTCTCTGTTAGGAAAAAAAAAAAAAGTCAAATATGCTCTCAAATTTTTTCGAAAAACGTGAAAAAAAACTTCGGGAATTTTTTTGGCTTTTTAAAAGTCTGCTGGATTCGTTATGACAGGTTTATTTTCAATGGCAGACTTATTTATCAAAGACAGATTTTCTGTGACAGATTTTTTATCTCTCACAGACTTAATTTAACAAGTTATGACAGATATTTATTTGGGAAAATTGGAAATAAAGGACAAATAATTAAACTATTGTCCATCTATGCATTCTATATTCATGATTGATCATATATACTTTAATATTGGTCATATATGATTTCATATAATTAAAATCCCAATATGCCCCCAGTCTTTAAAATCTTACTAAACTATTAAAAAAATTCAAAATTAAATTGATTTCTTTCTAAAAACAATTTGGAAAACATATAGGACAAAATAACATTTAATTATATTCTATTATTTGTTTTGCCGTAGATAATTTCATATCTTCTTCTTCTTTGATTCTCTTGCTCATCAAAGTTAAGCTTTCGTAATTGTTCTCTCCTCTCTAATAACGCCATATTAAATAATAAAAAAATTTCTTCTTCTTCTTCAATCTCTCTATCTATCTCACTCCCTTGATTTCAATTTCTTTATGGAGCGCAGCTATAGTTTTCCGGGTTTTGAAACAAGAAATTAAGCGTAATCTATAGGAAAAAGTGTTAAGTATAAAGAAAAATTCTAATTTGTGTTATAATTTATTCACTTAGGTATAAAGAATTTTAAAGTATTCAAAATTCAACTAATTTTCCGGGTTTTGAGACAAAAAATTAAGCGTAATCTATAGGAAAAAGTGTGAAGTATAAAGAAAAATTCTAATTTGTGTTATAATTTATTCACTTAGGTATAAAGAATTTTAAAGTATTCAGAATTCAACTTCTGTAATTTGCAGATGTAATCAAATTCACTATATTCAATTTCCATATTTTAAGATTTTTTTTTTAAAAACTAAATTAGATAGAATGTACTTTCTAATTTTTATAGAATCAAAAATAATCTTAAGAATATGTTTTCTAACATTCTTAGAACATGAGTAAATGTTAGAAAACATATTCTAATTTTTGTAGAACAAAGAACAAAGTATATAATATGTATTCTAAAAGTCGTAGAAACTAGTATTCTAAATACCGTAGAAAAGAAATGACTTCTAAATTTTGTAGAACATGTAGAGTGTGTAGAATACATAATCTAAATTTTGTAGAACATGTAGAGTGTATAGAATATACATTCTAATTTCAGAAGACAAATTCTAAACTTTATAGATCAAATTTTATCTATCTAAAACGAAAACAAAACATTATATTTTTGACATTTTATATATCTTCATGTCTTCTTTATCATTTTAATACATATTTTTCTTAATTATTTTTGAAACAATTGGTTCAATCTTATGCTAGGGGTAGTTTAGGAATAGTTGATATTTGTTCATAGAATTCATATATGGACAAATACTTAAATATTTATCCTTTATTTCCAATTTTCCCTATTTATTTTGTTGTAGTTTTTTACTCCACTACAGACTTATTTTTTGATGACACCACAGACTTTCATCACTTTGACAGATTTATTAAAATTAGTGGCAGATTTATGTTTATAGTGGCCTCAGACTTTTTATTTTCATAAAAATATCTGTCATCAAGTGACAGATTTGTTTTTGAAAAAATAATTACTAGAATGACTTAGTAGTGATAACAGATTTTTTTAATGTTATGACAGTTTTTATTTTTTAAACAAAAAAACTGTCGAGTGATAGCAGATTTGTCATACAAAAAAAAAATTGCTAGATTGACATACAATTGCAAATGAAATATTTCTGTGATGACAGATTTTATTTACATTACGACAGATTTAGGATTAGTTCAAAAAAAACTGTCACATTACAACAAATTTAGTGATGAAAAAAAAAATTGTTGGAATGACTTCATATAGTGATGACATATATGTTTTAAGCAATGACAGATTTTAATTGTTATTCATATTATGACAGATTTTATATACCTATTTGATGACAGACTTTTCATGATGGACTACATATTTTAAGAATGACAAATCGTAAGTCTTCGTCGGAGTCGCGAAAGTGAATGAGTTTTAATCAATGAGGCTGAGAAAAAAAAAATGAGGCTGAGAAAAAAAAACGTGAAAGGCAGTCGTAATTTAGGGCTAGTTGTTTTTTTTTGTTTTGTTAGGGTTTTGTAATTCTAATTTAAATGTTATATTGTTTGATTTTTTTTAAAGCCTAATAAAATTGAATTGGGTTTTTGGTCATTTTACCCAAAATTTGTGTTAGTCTAGTAAAGTACAAAACTAGGGTGTCAATCTAGTTATTAATCTCTAAATTTGAGTCAATCTGGGTAATTTTCAGTAAAATATATCGAAACCTTTTAGTGTGAGTTTTATGTTTTGTGTCATCTCAGGCTTATGCTCGTATTGGAATGGCAAAGGAAGCGGCTGATTGCGCAGCTCAGGCAAATGATGGAGGAGAATTGCTTGAGAGATTCAGGAAGACGTTTGTACAGAATGCTATTTTCGATACCTTGAAAATGCCTTTCCAAGGAGCCTCTTAGCTTAAAGTCCTCAAAAGTTATAGCGAGATGGAGATTTTTGTTTGATTGTAACTAAAACTCACAAGAGAAGTGTGTAAAATTGTACAAGTGAGATAACTATATGACGTGAGAAAAAGTGGAGTTGGTTCTCCAAGTTGTGTAAAACACCAATAGTGGCTTCTTCATTTTATTGACAAATTACATCATCCGGTTGCTGTTGTGTGTAGCACATGTAACTTTTCTTCTCTTTTTTATTTCATAAAGAATACACCATCCAACCATATAATATTATTTCCTACAACTACAAAGGCGCTAGAAGAACTCGGACTTTGATTCACACCAGCATCCAAAAGATCCCATATTAAACCATCACAAAAGAAGTCTCGTTAAACACCATTAAAGGCAGGGTCGTGCCTATGTTGATGAAATATAAACCTTCGTCTATGGCCCACTTGTGTGTCAAGTAAGAATCTTTATGTTTATTTTATTTTGCCAAGAGTTATTGAAATATTTCTGTTAGAAAATTTAAAGCAAACATTAGATTAAAAATATTGGGATGGTTCGTGATCTCTTAATAGATAACCATCTATTTTATTTAGGAAAAAATATCAAAAATATCATGAACTTTCGAATTTAGGACGATTTAATCATGAACTACGAAAAAAACATATAAATCGTAAAGTTTTTGTTGACTTTAAAATTAATTAGCAAAGTTTGGTTGACTAGCCATTTTAGACATAGCGTTAAGTACGCTAACAGAAAATGATTACTGGTGTTACACACTCGTTTGCCTTCTCTGTTATGTCAAAACGATATTGTTTACTTAACGCTATGATTTTTTTGACAATTTTCCCATTTTATTTATATTTTTGGAGTTAAATTTCTTCGATAAAGTTGATGATGTATGATTTTTTTATTTTTATATATTTAAAATGATGATCACATTGTAAATTGATAAATATATTTTCGATTATAATGTTTTCATGAAGCGTTGCAGTGTTTGTGATATATGCCTTGTTCTAATAAACGCTAGGCGCTAGTCGGACGGTCGGGGTGGGCCTAGCGCTTAGCGGGATTACTCGGGGATTAAACGGGATTACTCGGGGATTAACTTTAGATACTTTTAATTTAGATTTATGTATATATATTAAAAAAACGTAAGTGTACAATGATTATAACGTGGTACAGTGGTCTGTCTCCTTCCTTTGACCTTGGGAACGAGGGTTCAATGCTCAATTTTGATATTTATCTCTTTTTTTTTTAAGAATCGCAAATTTACAAAATTGCCCCCGTCCCCTTCCTTTCTCCCTGCGACAACAAAACCCTAGTTTCTGCGTTTTTTTGTTTTTTTTTTCACAATTCCATCGTTTTCATGTTTTTCTTGTAGGTTTATACCAAATTATGATAGATCTATTAGTTAACTATCGATTTCTAATTTAAATCAAAGCAAAATATGAATTTTTTTCTGAAACTCCGATTTGTTGGCCGATTTGGACAAATCGCAACGGTCCACCACCGCCGAGCGCCTCGCCGGCGACTAATCGGCCGCCTAGTCCGCGTTTTTGAACAAGGGATATATGTGATCATCAGTAATATTTATTGCTTCTCATGGACATCAAAATTTTTTAAATTACCAAACTATCCTTAGCACTCCTTGACTAGAGTTTCATAAAATAAAACAAATATTTGTAGTTTGTATAAACTAAATATAATTTGGAACTACAGTTTGGATGCTTGAATGTACTCTAAAGCTTATATATGATAATACCATATTCTTAAAAAAAACCATTGACATTTTATCATAAAATAAATTTATACCGCTTCTGGCCTCTAAATACCTAGGTACGGCTCTCATTAAAGAAGACCGTCAAAGAAAAGATTGTAACTTTACATTTGTTAACAAAAGCAAAACCAGGACGAAGACTTTCCTGACCTTGGACAATGTTTTGCTCAATACCATTGTTTGGACAAAAAAAAAAAAGGTTATCATACCATTGTTGATATACAGTACTGTTTTTTTATGTGTTAATTAAGGTATGCTTCTAAAAGCATAGAATTTTCCTGCAAGTGTGCTTAGAGGAATGTCACCTCATTAACTACTTAAGGAGATACATATAATGGAACAAGATCTTCTTAATTAGCTTTCTAATTAATATGCAACAATTAATGCCTTTACCTTCTGATTTTTCTCACATTTCTTTCCTCAAATTACTATTTTCTCTCTCGGTTACCCGTTGAAGAGAAGAGGCTTGTGCAAGACAGGATTTGCTTGGCAGCCACTCTTATATAACCGTATATTTTATGCAAAACCGAAGCTCTATAGAGCATGAGAGATTTTTCGGGAAAATCATAAAGAGAAAAAGTATTAGTGTGCGGAAATTGCAATTGAAAACCCCCAAAACAGGGAGATTTGGGAATGCTAGAATGGCATGACGTTGTGTCTACAACCAACATAAATGAGCTATATAGTTTAAAGCATGTTCTTGTGACTACCATCTGATGAATATGAATCATGATGATCATGTGAACATTGAATCATTTACTGATGCAAGCAATAATCACTTATAGTGTTTTCCTTCCATTACTTATCATTTAAGTACGATGCATAAATTGTTTGTTGTTGAACGTGAACGTGAATCCGAAGACGAGATGGAGATTCAGTAGAGGATAAGTAACAAATCTCTTTGGGCAATTTCAACACTTTGAAGAACATACATTTTCCATCAACTTATATAATCGGTTGCATATACTGATATACACCGCCAGTCGGCCATCACTTATAAAATTTAGTAACAAAATAGTGTGACCTAAATTTTTTCACATAATTTTCTTTTCAAGGCATTGATCAATAAGGTAAGCAAAAATATAAAGACTGCGAAAAAATGACACTTTTACAATCACATAAAATAGACAGTTACAATATTTAGTACTCCCACAGATCAAAACTCAAGAGTCATTTACATATATATAATCACACAAATAATACATGTGGAAAAAAAAAAAAAAACTCTCCACTTAGAACAAACTTTATAAATAAATAATAAAAACAGAAGAAGGATACTATAAAACCTGCATCCATATAATAGTTAAAAATAAATAAAAAATAAATAAATAAATAAATAAAAATTAAAAAAAAAAAATATTAAAAAAAAAATATTAGGATTTTCATATTTAGAAAAAAACAAAAACAATTGTTTGTTGATGTGAATGTGTTGTATATAGAGTATGAGTAATCGGATTCTTCGCCTTCCACAAATTGAATCCTTCACACCTGTAAATTTAGACATTTATTACACTTCCACTAACAAAATTAACATTGAACCACATTATAAGAATTAAGAACCTTAATTATAATTAATAATTGAATAATCTGTTTTGGCCTCACATAAGTTGAATCTAAGATCAGTCCAATTCTCTAAATCCATAGTAATTAGCAAGATTAAACGAATAAACAATGCATGTCGGTGACAGCTCAATTAGACATGTTAAGTCTATATCAACGTTAATGCAACAATATAAAGGCTGTAAATGGTAACATGTATTTGTGGAATTGCTGAGGAATTCATGTAGAAAAAAATACATGTTACATCATTTGTATATGTGGAATTGTTGTGGAATTTTTGATCTGTTGTCATAGTGGTCCCACTTCAATCTTTGATTTATTGAATTAATCAAACCTTCAACAAATAGAAAATAAGCAAACAATATGAGAGGAAATCAATATGAGTGGATTTTTAAAGAACTAATAATTTTTGATATTTTTTTATAGTTTATGTTTTTTGTTTTTAATTTTGTGGATAGCCTTGGATGTTCCAAGTATTTGGTTCGGTTTCAATCATGTAATTTTTAGTTTTGGATATTTTGGTTCTCGAATTTAGTATACATTCAGTTATTTTAGAATTTCGGTTAAAAATTATTTCGGTTTCGAATATTTCGGAAGTTTCGGTTTTTGAATCAAGAACCGATTAGGAACCAAAACTTTTTAAATATTGTTTACTTCTTGTTCTTACCCAAATAACATTTCGGGTATTTTCGAGAAATTTTCGAATACTTTTAGTGTATAGTATTTTTTGGTTATTCGGATTTTTTATTATTCAGTATAAAACTAACTATAATATTTTAGATATATAATTATATTTTGGTTTCATTCAGGTATCCAAAATATTTTGGTTCCGGTTCGTTGGTAATGAATCTAACTTAAAGTTCAAATTTTTTTTTTTTTTTTTTTTGTGCAAATAAGTTCAAATGAAATTTAAGATCCATTTATTTTTATTATTCAGTATAAAACTAACTATAATATTTTAGATATATAAAGTTCTGTTGTTAATAATTTTAGAAATTTATTTGGGTTGTATAAAAAAAATTCAGTCAGATTCAGCAGTTACCATTTGAACTTTAAATTATTCAGCCGGATTCCACAAAAAAACACAAATATATTCAGCCAGATTCAGCAATTCAGCCAGATTCCTCGGTTACCATTTAGACCCAAAATTTCATAAATCACGTTTTCAAAGGGGACCCTGGAAATTATGTAATATCTTCCCATCTGTATTTCCTAATCAATTAAATTTATTTTATGCGAAAAACATAAAAATTCTGGTCCCATTAGTATCAGAGGGGCAATTTAGTCTTTTTACTCCTTTGATTCAGGAATTGGAAAATTTACGAAAATACCACGCACCTCAGTGATCTTTCCAAGCTCTGGTGAAGATATTCTTTAACCGATTACCGGCGGCGAGTCTCTGAACCGCTTTCTTAGCACCGGAAACTTCCATTTCCTCTAGAGATTGAAGATAACGATCAGCTCCTACACCAATCAACTTCGTCCTCGCCGCGTAACTTCCACCTGATAAAATCGCCGTCACAATCATCACCGGAAGCTCTTTATTCGCCATTCTCTCATTCCTCGGATCTAACATTTGCACTAATCTAATCACACTCTTCTCGTCTCTCATCAACTCTTTCCGATTTGATCTAACCGTCAACAACGACTTCGCCGCTTCCGTCGCCGCTTCTTGTAACCCCGCCGGTTTCGGCGATTCCATTAACCGAATCAACGAGCTTAAACAATCAGCGACGGCTCGTTTGTTACCGTCGCTGATTGTTAAATTCGATAAAAGAGAAGATGAGATCTGTTGAAGGATCACGTTTCCGTGCTTTATTAATTCACCTAATCGGATTATGAACGTTGTTGATGATGATAAAACCCTAGAAATTGTTTCCATGGCGGAGATAT